GTATAGAAGTAGAATGATACCAATGATTACTGAAGAAGATATGGCTAGACATAGAGGTAATTATGATTTATATTTATCAAAATATATTGAGTCAAAGTAGAGTAAATTATATTTATATAATACTGATTTCTTTTATTTTTAATTATTAGCAAAAAAGGCAGCTGAAGAACAAGCAAGAAGATACATGCAAGATGGTAATTATAATTTATTTAAGATTTGAAATATTTTATTTCTGAATACAAATTCAAATTAAATATTCAAACAATGAATTTATTTATTTTAGATGATTCCCGATATAGAAGTAAATTGATACCAATGATCACTGAGGAGGATATGGCCAAATATAGAGGTAATTATTATATATATTTTTCAATGTATTATTTGCTAATAATATTAATTATATTAAATTATACATCTATAAATTTCAATTTACAGCAAGACAAGCAGCATTAAAACAAACAAATCATTCTTCTACCAAACAATCTGAACCTGAAGGTAATTTTAATAATGGTCTATCATACTGATTGGTTGAAAAATATTAATTTATTAAAATTTATTTTTATGAATTAATTATATAATTATTAGATGAATCTAAATACCGAAGTCAATTGATACCATATATCACTGATGAAGATATCGCTAATCATAATGGTAATTAATTATAATTTAAATTTATCGTGTCAATAAGTTAATGCATTAATATACAAATAAATATAAAATATATCAACTTTTACTTACGATATTATATTATATAATTCTAATTATTAGCAAAAAAAGCTCAAGAGCAAGCATCCAAATTAAAAGAATTAAAAGGTAATTAAAAATATAATTATTTTATTATAAATTATTAAATGAATAATGAAATATGATAATAAAAATAATATATTTAAATATTAGATAAATCCAACAAGGGTGGCGGAGGAATTAATTATACTATACATCCAGAAGCAATTTACACCAGTCGAATGATTCCTATTGTTAATCGCAATGAACTATCGGGATCAACGTCAACAACTTCAACTTCAACAACTTCAACGGGTGGTTATTTAAATTAATATATAATGGAATGTTATTTAATAAGTTTAATTAAATTGTTATTATTATTAATATTACTAGTTGAAAATAAGGGTGAAGATACTGAAATGAAAGAAGATACTGAAATGAAAAAATATACTGAAACGAAGGAAGATTCTGAAATGAAGGAAGATACCAAATGAAAGAATAACTATAATTATTGAATTATTTTATAACGTTAACAGGTGGTTATTTAACTTAATAATAATTGAATGTTATTTCATAAGTTTAAATTGTTATTATATTAATATTTTTATTAATATTTTCTAGTTAAAATTAAGGGTGAAGATACTGAAATTAAGAAAGATTTTGAAATGAAAGAAGATACTGAAATTATTGAATTATTTATTTTATTTTATTTTATAATTTTTTAAGATTTATTTTAATATATTTTTTATATTTCATTTTCTGATAATATATTTTTAGTTCTAATAATTGAATATAGAAAATATGTATAATTTTTAAATTTTTAATTTTATTCGTTAGAGTTAGAGTTTTGTAATCAAATTAAAATTAAAAATTCAAATAAATTAAATTCTTTATTCAAAAATTTTCTTAAAATTTTGAAAACTTAGTATCACGGAACTCTTTAGACCGAATTTTTTTATAATAAGAAATATGTTATGCGATTTTTTATCGATTTTCAAATCATCTATTAAATTTAAAGTATGATCAAAATATAGTTTTGGCGTATGTGAGAAATTATAAATAGCATATTCAATAGGGCTTGCCCTACTTAAAATAGAATCTTTCAGATTTCTGGTTTTCAATGCAACTTTTCTTATCCAATTCGCAAGGAATATATCCTTCAAAAATTTCTTTGGTATATTTTACCTTTAGAACAATAAAATTTTTTTACCACAAATTTCATAAACCCATCTCTGCGTCCTCGGACAAGTAAATTTATCAGTATATCTTGATTCTTGCCTTAAAATTTCCGAGGCTCGTCAGTAATATTTGAAGATAAAGTAGTTCTAGTTGAAATTTTTCGAAGTGGTAACACTGTTGAATAGGTTTGTTTGATTTTACTAGTGAGGCTCAAGGATTTGTTGACAGCATCTTTACTGGGAATATGGAAATTTCTAAATGTGGGGAGACATTGTTTAATGTTGTTTTTGTTTTCAAGGTTAGGAAATTATTACTAGTACATTCATCGAGATTGGATGGCAAAATTGGATCTTGGGTTTTTCCCCATGGAATTACATATTTCCCAAATTTCGGTTTCCTCCAATTGAAAGTAGTCACCTTTAATAATACATCTTCTGGAAGAGTGAAAAAAATTCTTGGATAATAAAATTAAAAAGTTTAGTCTTAGCCAGTAAGCGTTATTATTGACAAAGTGAGTTTGAAGATGCAACTAATTATTCCACCATAAATATACCTTAAATATTTATTTAATTTTCAAAATAAATGAAATTTTGCTTACTTGATAATTATAACTATTGAATTATTTAATACTTATATATGATTTCATTCAAAGAAATTTCGTTTACCTTTTTTTTTTTTTGAAAACAAGAACTACGGAATTGAAATATTGTTTATCAAGTTCTTCGCCAACTTCATTACAATAGGGTTTCCAAAGGTTCAACAGTCTTTTTTTTTTTTTTTTGAAATAAGAATAAAAAGAGTACTTATTTAAATGTTTTTCTGTTTTGTAAATATTTTTAAAAGGAACCATTCCTTAGAAATTGATTTTTGAAATCAAATTTAAATAGACGAAGGTAATTTTGGAATAAAATATAGATTTCATTCATGAGCTTAATTGAAAAAAAAAGTATATAGGATGAAATGGTTTAAATAAAGTTTTAACAGAACTCACATCAATATTGTAAAGATTAAAATAAATTAAAAAAAAAAAAGGTGAAAAATATTATTTTGTATTAACATTCTTTACATTTGATTTAATCACATCCGTTTATTTAGTACTTTATACATCTCAATTTATTTAGTATATATAGAATGAAGATTACAATATATAAAAACTTTAATAATCTCATATTCTTATGCATCAAATCTATTTTTGCTACTACTAGAATAAATTATCATAAATAGAATTTCCGAATCTTTTATCTTTAAAAATCGGATATTTTATCACAAAATTTCATAAATGGTTTAACGTCAAACCCATCTTTACTTCCTCTAATAAGTAATTTAAAATTATTAGGATATCTGATAAAATTTCTAAGAGTTGGTCGTTTTCACTTATATGTCAAAAGTCTAAAATTACATGAAATTTGTGACGAGAACAGTGTAGATATAAATCAATCAAAATTATAAAATATTTCTAAAATTTCTTTATCAATTATTCATTAATTTTATCGCAAAAGTGATAAATCTTTGTATGCTTCCTTAAAAATTTAGTTAATAAAGACAAAAATGAGAAACTAAATGTATACTGTTTAGACATCAAAAATATATTTTGACTGTAGTTTCGGGCTATCAACTCTAGGTATTAATGATAATAAAAAATCTGAAGTAGTTCTGAAAAGACATGACCGTGGTATTTTTTAATTGGAAATATTGCATTTAAGATTTTTTGAGGTAACAACCACAACCATTGAAGAATTAGGTTTTGGGGTAATTCTAGTTGGAAGTGTGATTGACATTTTTGATTTTTCGAGGTACTCAAGTTCAAGATCTTCAGGAAATTATCGCTAGTCCATTTTATCGGCTTTTCCCCATATCAGTTGTAAATCATCATTTTCTGGAGAAAATTGTCTAACTCAAAAATAGTATGGGGGTACGTTAATCTAATATTAAAGTCTTTCATTCGAAAACTTATTTGGTAAGCGAGAGAAAAATTTAGGAAGCATTCAAATCCGTAATACTTATTTTCATAAAAAATCAAATGACTAATATTCCTGTTAATCATTTAATTATTCAGTTGTTTGTCAATAATAATGAATTTTGTTTATCAGTTCTTCGCTCATTTTTTTTTCGAAATAAAATAATAAATGGTTAGAATTGAAAATGGGTTAATTTAATTCTTATTAAATCAGCGACACATAGTTATAACCAGTTTTGCGAACATTAGAAATTGATTTTTGAAACCAAATTTTATTTTAAAAAATAGATGAATAAGGTGATTTAGAATAAATATAGATTTAATTCATAGGTTTAATTATAAAGAAAGTATATATATAGGATGGAATGTTTAAATAAATAGAAAAATATTCGTGTTTTGGAAAATTTGGGGAAAATTACAATATCATATATACAATACGTATCAAATTTTTTTATTCAAATACTTTATTACGCATGATTTAACGTTTTATGGTAACTCAAATTCGTTACCAAATATGTATTTAAATGATTATCTTGATCTTTTTAATTGTATAAAAAAAATGTTTACACTATTTATTAATTCATTTAAAAACCAAAAATCCCTTTCTCATTATAATTCGCTTTTCCGGAATTTTCGTACAGCAAGTTCAAGGAAATCGTTAAAAAAAAAAAGAAAATTAAAAGAATCATTTCCAAATAATAATGCAGAGACTTCAAAACCTATATTTATTACTACACCACCTTATCCTCTATTTTCTGGCAAGTTTTTAATAATGTTCATTTTTTTTTTGAAATATTCAAACGATAAAAGAAAGATGCATACTAACATATGAATATTATATAATATTAGAAACAATGAATGAATATTTAGTTATGGCAATTGCAGCAGATTGTATTAAAAGATATTATGAAATGAGGAATAAAGAAGTTTTACTAAGTGTGGGGACTGCTGAATACGGACCAAGGGTAATAATAGTAACAATCGAAATCGAAAATGTTTAATTATTGAAAAATAATAATTGATTTTATTAAATGTAAAAAAAAAAAAAGGTACAACAAGCAATAGCTGAGAGTGGATTATCAGCAAAAGAATTTTGTGAGAGAAAAATGAACGAATATAAGGTAATAAAATTATTCAAATAATTTTTTAATATAATATAAAATAGATATTTTAATATAAATAAAATAAAAATCAAATTATATTTTAGGAAACTTTAAATAATGCCAAGGTTACATACACGGATTTCTCACGGAATACGGAACTAAGGCATGAAATTTCTGTAAATCATATTTGGGTAAGAATAATAATATTTTAAGTGAAGTGTATGATTATCTTATAGTATTATTATTATTTTTTTTTTTGTAACAAATTTCTATTATATTTTAGTAGAATACTCTTATCAAGAGTAAATATATTTATAAAACTTCACAAGAAGGGTGGTATTCACCTTTGAGTCAATCATTTTTCTTAGAATCAAAGACAAAAAAAATAAAGCATCCCCATACCGGTGAAGAAATATTAGTAAGTGACATAATTTTTTTTTTTTTTATATTTACATTTTTTTGATATACTTATACATTTATTATTATAGGTGTCAAATGTAAAAAATGATGCTCCTAAACCACTTGAATGGTACAAAGAAGAACATTATAACTTCAAACTTCCAAGAATACATATGAAATTAGCTGAATGGTTAAAAGCAAATCAAGATCGTCAGTATTTATTTTATTCTCACTTTTTAAAAATTTATAATAAAATTCACTATATATTGAATTTATTGAATTAATCAATAATTTATATATTTAATATATATTTACAGTTGTAATAGCTCCGAATAAAACGGAAAAATATGTATATGAAATAAAGAAGCTATTAAAAGATTTACGTATTTCACGTCCTCGTTCTCAAGCTGATTGGGGAATACCAGTTCCGGATGATCCTGAACATACGGTAGATTCCAATTTTGAAGCTTACGTTAATTATTTAACTGTTACTGGATATCCCTGGAAGGAAGAACCTTATAAAAAGCATTGGCCAATTGATATTAATGTGTGCAATGTTCGTTCATTAAAGTATGTTCGAATTTTCAACTTTGTACAAAATATTTCTTGTCCTTATATTCTCATCTTAATATTTCGAATATATAATTTATATAATTAATATTCTTATTAGGATTCATGCAGAAAATGGACCAGCATTTCTAATTGCAGCTGATATACCGCCAATTAAGAAAATATACGCCAATTCATTTAAATCTTATAATTATGATGCTAAAATTAAAAGAGTTATAAATTTATATGGCGTAGATGCTTGCCGATATATTTATATGGCTTACGGTAATGATCCAAAACCATCAGGTAAATAAATTTCGAAATATTTCCTAATTTCCTAATTTCCTAATTTCTTTAATTTCTTAATTTCCTAATTTCTTAATTTCTTAATTTCTTAATTTATTAATTTCTTAAAATTTTTAAATTCTTAAAGATTTCGCATTAGAAAACATTAGTATTCGATATCATAAAGATTTAGTTAATCAATTAGGAAAGGCAATAAATAATTGTTGTAATAGTGACATCTATTATTCAACATGGGTACCTAAATACCCCGAATATGAAAAAAATAAAATTGATTATGATGATTTGCTTTTACATAATGCTTTAACCGAATTTCCGGGTATTTTTTTTATTTTATCTAAAATATTTATATATATACACAAAGTATAATTAATTTTTTTTTTTTTTTTTTTTTTATTCTTATTATTATTTTCAGATATTGTTGAAAATTATTATGAAAATTTCGATTTTTCAAATGTGTTGAAGCATATTACTTATGTCATTACAATGGTATTTTTATTTTTTATGTTATTTTTTATTTTTATTTTTATGTTTTATTTATTTATTATTTATCATTTTTTATTATTTATTTATTTATTTTTTTATGTATTTTTTATTTTTATTTGTTATTTTATTTTTTATCCTTTGAGAACAATTTAAATTGATCTCCTAATAACAATTATTTCTTTTATTTTTTTTTTTCAGGCCAATAATCATTTCTCAAGTTTATTACCACAAGATGGTGGTCCAATTAAAGATCGAAGTTTAATCGAACGAGCTTTCTATTATTCATTTGAAACTTTGCGCATTGCTAGCATTCTTTTGAAGCCAATTATGCCCGAGAAATCTGTAAAAGTTTTAAATATTCTTGGAGTATGGGAAAGTGAACAAGTATGGGATGACGCAAAATTTGGTGCAGGATGGACATATGTTAATGAGAGAGGAAGGAAATGGGCAAAATATTTATATCAAGATTTATATCCATATGTCAACATTGGTTTAGGTGGACCAGGATTGCGTAGAAATGATAAAGATAATTTGGCTTTTAATATTATGGAAATTAAAGAAAAGAATTCTATTATTGGAGATATATTACCAAAAGATGTGGAACAAATTGCTCAAACCAGAAATCCTCGCATGAATAGAATTCAATGGGCATGATAATATTGCTTAACATTAAAGCTCTATAATATTATAATATTCACTTTATTACGGCTACGACAATAAATTCATGAAACATTTTATTTATGTAATATTCTGGAATATTTTTTAGAATATTCTAAGGTTTTAAATAACATAAGGTTAAATGACAAAATAAATGACTAATATATATATATATATATATACAGTATATTGTATAAAAATTAAATTGGAATTTTATATTGTTTCTTGTGCATCTTTTACTTAATTTTATCAATTTTTTTTTTTTAATTAATGGTACATTTTAAGACTAACAGATTTTGAGTTGATTCAATCAATCATTTTATTAAAAATAAATACAAAACTTCGCTAAATAATGATGATGAATATTTTCTGAATTATATTTATAACTTATAAATTCAAAGTTTAACTTATAACTAATAGGAGAGTTAAGTTCATGAGAATGAAACAAAAACTTAGTTTTCGTCCCTGCATGATGATGATAATATTGAATTCTTGATAAATTACTGAATCTAAAGTTCGGTATATATTATTTTGTTCACATTAAATGATCATCTTAGGTTTGGTTTAATTTCGTTTTAATTTCGAATAATTTAATTTTAAATTTTTTATCCAATCAAATAAAATGAAATAAATTATAAATATAGAAGAAATAAAATATTTCAAAATTTTAATCGTTTTAAAATTTTTTTTTTCTCCTCGTTTTTGAAATAAAAGGAATACGAGGAAAAAATACTATAAATATTATAATATCATTAATTAATATGGGAAATATATCATCAAAAAAACGAAATTTGACAAAATCTGGAAAATTATCAAAGAATTTTTCAAACATTGACAATAAATTATTGTTCAATGATGATGAAGAAATTGATCGAGTTCAAGTAGAACATCATATGTATCGTTCAATTTGGAAAGCAAATTTTTTAGCGCCTGTTAAAGAAATATTAGCAAATGGTGGAGCAAATGTTTTAGATTATGGGTTAATATTTTAATATTTATTATAATATTTATTTTAATTTATTTCAATTATTGTATATTTAATTATTTAACTTATTTAACTATTTATTTAATTAATATTATCAGATGTGGACCAGGTAATTTATGTTTAATAGAATAAATTTACTGTATTTACTAAAATATATAAAAAAAAATAATATAAATAATATTCATATTTCTCCCTCTTTTTTCATATCTTTTCATATCTTTTTTCATCTCTTTTCATCTCTTCTTTCTCTTCTTATTAATAGGAACTTGGATATGTGACATGAGTTCGGATTTTCCAAAATCATTTTTTACTGGGGTAGAACTTGTTCACTTGTTTCCGAATATACATCCATCTAATGTACAATTTATTCAATGTAATTTAAATAATGGATTACCATTTGAAGATAATTTATTTGATTTCATACACATAAGGCTAAAATTTCTTAATTACACTGAACAACAATGGCAAAATTTGGTATTCAAAGAGTTAGTGCGAGTTTTGAAACCTGGTGGATGGATAGAGGTAAATATAATACGTAATGATGATCATGTGATTTATGTGATATGTGATTTAATTAATTATTTACTTATTTATATTTTTTAGTCAATAGAACCCGAATGTGATGGTATTAATAACGGACCTGTTTCAAAAAAATATATAAGTAGATGTATGTATAATTTTCTATCTTTTATTTTCATTTTTTGTGGAAATATATATTTTAACAATATAACTTTCTTTGTTATTATAATTTCAAAAGTCAGAGATGCTTGCGTAAAAAAGGGTCTTGATCCATATTTAGTTTTTCATTTACCAGAAATTCTAGCTTCTAATAAAGATATCGATTCTACCACGATAAACCATGTGACAAAACTTGTTCCAATAGGTTCATGGGGTGGTAAAATTGGTGAAATGGTGGAGGAAAATATTAGTGAATTAAAGAAAAGAATTGATATTGTATTGTCTTGCGCAACTAAACAAGATGGCGAATTATATAGTGATAGTCATAAAGAATTTGGAGTTTATAAAGCTTCATTTAGGTTACATAGGTTTTATGCCATGAAGAGAATTGTATAAGAATTACAATTAAATAAGCATTGAATAAGTATTTTATATTTATTGTATAAGAATTTTATATGTTTTGTATAAGAATTGTATAAGAATTATGAATTAGTATGAATGAATGATTAATCTAGAAGATAATTTAAATGTATATTATTTGATTAATGTCAATAATATCAATATTTAATATCATTATATATTATTTAATTTTTATAAATAGTTTCTTTATTATATTTCATCTAATAAATTTTGTAAATTATAAATTATTATATTATCCGATTGGTCAAGTTGACTATAGTAATAGACTATTTATTGTTGTATGTTAATAAAACATATATGGTACAAAATGCATTATTTTAATATTTATATTTCTAATTTTATTAAACAATATATAATTATGACTTGATTTTATATATTTCTTTTTATCTTTATTATTTTATTATTTATAATAGATGCTATCTGTTATATTTTTTAACATTTATTATCTTCAAAACTGATAAAGACAAGAAATCAGAAATTTTATAAGGCATATTACATCAATTTTTGGAATATTATCAACCTATTTTTAAATACTTTTAGTATTATAAGTTATAGAGAAAATAATTTTGAATATATCAATGAATCACGATTCAAATTTAAAATCAAAACACAACCAATATAACAACTATGATAAATATCAATTGTATAATAAAATTGTAAATCTGATTTAATGATATCGATATAAAAATCAAAATAAATATATATTCACTATTTTTTTTTTGTTTCCATTTTTATAATTCGTTTCATTTACAGTACATAACAATTATTAATTATTTAATATTATTTCAAAATGTACGCCACTTTGATGAAATTATTTTCAAATAATCGAAAAAATTCACAAAATAAATCCTCGAATCAATCAAATCAATCATCTTTTAATATTTCTTCCAATTCATTTTTTAATAATATTTCTTCCAATACATCTTTTAATTCAGCGTCTTCCAATTCATCTCTTTCCAATTCATCTTCTTATAATAATGTTTATAATAATGTTTATGATAATGTTTATGATAATGTTTATGATAATGTTTATGATATTGCTTTTAATAATAACGAAGAAATTACCTCAGCAGGACGTATAAAATCAAAAATTGGTAAAAAAAAATATTTAGAAGAATCAAATGAAAATCAAACACAAGTATATTATTATTATAAAAAAGAAAGAAGACGCGAAAAATCAACCAAAAATAGAGGAAAATTTGAAGGAGTATCAATTAGAGAATGGATTAGTAGACTTCGTTCTTCTGATATTCTTGAAGCTAAAATTTCAGATGCAGAAAAAAGTAATAAAACTAATGTTCTTGTTGATATTGAAGATTTGAAAGAAATGAGTAAGAAAATTTATTAAAATTTATTAAAATTTTAATTTTATTAATAATAACAATGAAATAAAAACAATGAATAATAATATTGAATATTTTATTTATTGTTAATTTTTAGAAGTAGAATTTGAATTCTTACATAAAGGAGTAACAGAATTAGTTCTTCTCGCCGAAGGAGTAATTGACGATAATATATAATAGATTTTAGTTTAATTTTTAAAGTAGTCAACATAATCTTTATCAATTACTATCACAATGATTATTATCAAAAGGATCTAGATTTTTTCTTTTTTTTTACCAATTTTTATTTCTTTTCATTATCTTTATTTATAATTATCAAAATTGCTTATGTTTCTTTTCAAAAGACAGATTGCTACCGGGATGTCATCATTTTCCATTGGTTTTGATTTTTTTAAATTGTTCATGCGCGCCTTCATTATCACACATATGTCTAAAAAAAATTTTCATATACTTTTCTTACAAACTAACATTTATAATTAGATAAAAGATAATAAAATTCAAAAAATATAAAATTCATTAACGAATTTAGTGCACATTTCAAACTGTGGAAAAGTTGTTTAATAAGACTGGAAGCATGTCCACACCACCACTTATTAAAGATGGTACTACAACTAATTTACACGGATTTCTTGAAAATAATTGTGATATAAATTCACAATTCTGAAATTCCGCAAAATTTTTTTTAGATATTTCAGCATAATGCTATTTCTATTGAATCACCTCAAGGATTACAGTACCGTGTTTTTATGTGGTGCTGTTTGTTGTTTCAACTACGTGGTGGCGAACATTATAGATTAACAACATCACAGTTTACTTTTATGACAGATGGAAGTCTTCAATTTACTAAATTTTCACAAAAAAATGATCAAGGTGACATAGATGGAAACTTGTAATCCCTGTACCACCAGATCCAGAAGCCTATTCATGATATTTTCTAAATAACCTATAAATGTGAATTTTTCATTTACCAATTAATAAATAACAAAAAGGTATTTAAATAAGTAAAAATCTTTTGAATTTTATTTATTTAATAAAATTTATTTAATAGACTCTTCTATAGAATGGTATATTGATAAGATTAGGAGAAGAAACATGCCGATTATTTATGAAAAATATTTGTGCTACAGTTGGAATTGAATTAGCTGATCGTGATATGAATCATTCAGGTCGTTCAACACCCATTACAAAACTTTTTCGGCAAGGAGTTCCATTTATTACAACTATGTCAATTACAGGTCATAAAAGTGAATTCTCATATAGAATTTATGCCCGTCCATCTACTCAACAAAAGAAGAAGCATTGTCTTTACTAATTGGTAGTGTAGGAGCATTAAATGATCAAGTAAGTTATTTATTTTATGCTAAAAATTTCTTTATACATTTTAATTTAATATGCTTTCTATTAGTCTCTTTCTAAGTCAACATCGCAATCATTATTAAAAAAAAACATCTTCAGTAACTAAGCCTTTCTGTTAACCTCTTATGGATTCTACAAGAAATCTTCCGTTACATTCCAATGCATATGCATATAAAACCTAATACGTAACAATCTGAAGAATCCGATAAAAGTACAACTATAAAGAATTATTATTTCAATGCTGAAAATGTTACTATTAATTAATTATAGTAATTTTTTCTGTTTATTTAAATTTGATTATACTTACTTGTTGTACCGAATAATAACTGCATTGCCGAATAAAAAAAAATAAACTATTATAACTATCAAATAACGAATTTATTTGGCACTTTGATCATAATTACCGAACCGGATAATTGATTTTATTGACAAAAACAATATACATTTTTTTAGTAGGTAATCAAAAATGAGAATTATGATTAATTGGTGATAAGTAAACAACCACCACATTATTCGATTATCATATTTGGAAAAAAATAGATCAATTTTTGCTCCGGATCAAAAACTCAAATTTTGTTCATCCTTTTTGGATATTAATTCATAAATACTCCTAATAAATAATATTTTTATGACTTTAATTATTCGTGTATGAATATCTTCTTTCCAAAATCAACCTGCATCGTAATTAACTATGGCATCTAGAAATTATCTCACCCTTAATTTTGTTTTTTTTTTTTTTAAAAAAAAACAACTCGTAGTCTTTTAAAAGAATAAAAACATCGCTTGTAGCATATCTATAATTTGGGAATAAGAATGTAATCAAATAAAATCATTATTATTCTTGTTTATTTTAGTAATTCTCTACAATGTTTTACAAATAATAAAAATTGCGTATTGCTAAAGCTCACCAGTGATGATTGTCACCGCTGGGCGAAATTACATAATTCCCTGATCAACCCTACCCCTAATCCTAACTTTGCTCACTTAAATTTAATTTTGCCCAGCGGTTACAATCACCACCGGTGAGCTTTAGCAATTTTCTAAAAATTGGTATTTTTTTTTTGCCCCCCAAATTGCATTCATAACTTCGGGCATTTCATAAAGATTGCATACCCATAAATAAATTTTCGTAAATTCCTTTGACCTTAAATTAACGAGATCATAGAACACTAGTAGGAGTAGAAAAAGGCCTTATCTTCATGCACTTAATTTCCTTACAAATTTTAGATAACGGATTTAAAATATCATTTTCAGGCTTTGTAGTATTATAAGGATTTGCAACTCCAAGAAACTTAATCTTTGTAAATAAATAGGATTGAATTGTTCACATAATTCAATCAAAATATCAATAAAGTTATTTGAAAAATAATCGAATGCGGAACATTTCTCAAAGATTAATTTTAAAATCATTTTGGTTAGAGTAAATTTTCTTTGATCGAAATTGTCAGATATGCTTAAAATCTTTTTTCGTGATTCCCTGAATAATCATAATGCAAAAATAAAATTTACTATTTATAAATTTATATTATTGTTTTTTAATATTTTTAACCTGAAATTTTTTATTACCAAAAATTTAAATTGTCAATAATACAATAAATAATTAAATCTATTATTTTATTAATTATTTTACTAATCATGATCATTGTTTTAAACAATAGTATTTTGCATTATTGTTTCATCGTCGATGATGAAACAATATCTTTTGTAAAGTATAAATAAGTCCAACTTTTGATTTAATTCAATTCAATTTATTACTATCATATAAAAATGTTTTAATTACCCTGTAATCAATAAAAACCATTCTTTATCTCCAACGAAACAATCATTCTTAAAAATTGGTGTCCCTTTTTTTGAAGGGGGAGTGCAAGAAATTCGAAAAACATACGAAGTTTCATCCGAAAAATTGAGGTGTAACAATTAAGGAAAGATATCAAGCATCAGGACACCAGGTGGTAACAGGTTATACTCTGTGGAAATCAGGGGAGGATAAATGATCTGCTACGCAAAAGTTAGCAAAAAGAGGATCTTGATAGGCAATGTGAATACCTCAAACAGAAATATCCAAAGATGTATTGAAGAGATTGTCAGAAAAGACAGATTCTACAAGTTCGCTCATGAACTTGTCAAATGAATCCTTAGTAAGAATGGAACAAAAATCATGTTACTCGGTTCAGACATCAACATTGATGACACCGAATCTGGTGAGCTTGCCGAGGATTTATTATCGATCATTACTGTCTTCACAGCAAGACATAATGGACTTAGATCATAGAATCATAAGAGATTGAAGATTCGAAAGATAAAAATGCATCCGACACCAGAAGAAAAAGAAAAGTTAAGGTGGATGGGAACCGTGAGGTGGACATATAACAAAGTCCTTGAGATGTTACAAGATGATAATATAAATGATATGAATATCATAAGAAGACATTACCTGAATAACGAGTGTTTCACAAACGAGAAACTATCTTGGGTGAAAAAGACACTGAGAGAAGTGAGATCTTTTGTGATCTGACAACTGATGAGTGCTTACAAGACAAATATAAAAATGCGCGGTAGTAACTTCAGTATGAAGTACAAATCGAAGAAGGATCGATTTCATACCATCTCAATACTGGCGAGAGATTGGAATAGAAACAAAGGGAGCGTATGCATTTCTGAAGACCATTATCACGTCACAAAAAGTACCATTGGTTAGTAACACAGTAAACATAATCATGAACAGGGCTAGGACATTTTTGCATATGTGTGCCAGTTCTTTTAGATATCATCGATAACCAACACTAGTCAAATACAAAAGAATCACTGTACCAAATGGTGATTCCTATATTATAAATCAGCTAAAAATCGGAATTCCTTTTTGCGCCACCTATTCTTTTTTATTTGACCTGTGCAAGATGTCAAATATCGCTCGATCCTGTCGTTCGAACATTCATGACGTGTTATGATCCAGAAGGACAAATCGTTGAGTGGGGTAACGGAGACCTTAACAGGATTTTTAAATTATCAAAAAAGTACGATAACTTGCAAAGTGACAAAGATCAAGCTCTCGGTAGATCAAACAAAAGGAAACAATACAGGTTGAGAATGAAGATGCAAAGGATCGTTAAAAAGATAAGGAACTTGGTCAATGAATGCCATCATCAATTGGCTCGCTGGTTATGCAAGAGTTGAGGTCATACTGTTACCAAAAATTCAAATCTCCAAACATGGTCTTGAAGAACAAGAGAAAGATCAGGTCAAAGATAGCACGGATGGTGCTCACATGGTCACATTTCAGGTTTAGCAACAGAAAGCAAGATAATTGAATGCACAGAAGAGTATACATCGAAGATTTGTGGGAATTGCGAATTCATTAAAAAAAAAATCTTGGTGGATCAAAAACGTTTAGATGCGATTCTTGCGATTTGAGGATTAAAGAGAGGTGAACAGAGCCAGGACAGGTTCACGCCTGACTCTGAGACTTGAACCTATATAGGAATAGTAAAGACTATCTTATTGGATTCAATATACAAGACACGAAACAAAGATGGGTAGTGATGTTACACAATCTTTAAATATTTTAATATTTTTATTGGCTCAAATGTCAAAAAAAAAATATAGTCTCGTATTTTTTTTTTATCCTAATCAGTAATCGGTTTAGTAAAAGTAATTGAATCGGTGAATCGGTTTAATAATAATAATAGTAATAGTATAATAATAATAATAATAATAATAATAGTAATAGAGTAATAGAGTATTAATAGAGTAATAGTTTAAAAGTAATGGAGGTAAGTAGAGAAAATTATAGATCTTAAAAAATTTTAATAAGTTTTAAATAATTAAAATATTTAATAATTATTATCATATTATTAAAAAAAAAGGGACAATATCAATTTATCAACGGATTAGAAGAACTTCTTAACCAATTAGTGCTCGGTGACACAGATACCGCGAGAATAAGAACAGTTTGTATCTATAAATAAAATTCTTTTAATAGTAAAAATAATTTTTGGGATAATAATTAATTTAATTAATAAACTTATATTCTTTATTATTAATAATAACATAATTATAATTATAATTAAAAAGGCAACATCTACTTTGAATAATAATTTTTATAGTATTCAAGAATGTGTTCCTGCTCTTGTGCATATATTATCAAGTTCAGAAAAGTGGCAGGTGATTATTATAATATAATAATATATGGATAATATATGAATAATATATGAATAACATATATGTACATATGTGAATAATATATGAATATCAGGTACGACAACTTGCAGCAGTTGAATTAAAAAAGCGATCATCGAAATGGTGGTCAAAACTTGATGCCAACCAAAATTTATATGTAAAAAACCAATTACTTCAAGTTATATTGCAAGAACCAGAGTGAGTTCAAATTATATTAATTATATTAATAATATTAATTATATTAATTAATTAATTTAATTATTTGTATTTAGAAATCTTGTTCGTCATGCTACAGCACGGGTTATTTCAGCTATTGGTAAAATTGAATTGCCATCTGGTAGTTGGAATGAATTATTTCAATTTTTATATCAATGTTGTCAAAGTCCACTTGCTATCCAACGAGAGGTATAATTAATTAATATAATTGTAATTGATATAAATTAAAAAATAATATAAATAATATAACTTATAATATCATATAAAAATAATTTAAAAATAATATAAAAATAGATTGGAATATTTATAGTTTTCTCATTATTGGAAGTAACCGAAGTATTTGTGGATAATCTTCGACAACTTTTACAAATGTTTGCAGTTGCTTTAAATGATCCAGAAAGTAAAAATGTTCGCGTCACCACGTTACAGTAAGTTTTTATGATTTATTTTTAAGTAATATTTTAATTATTTATTAATCATTTTATATATTTTAATAAAGGGCTTTGGGAAAAGTAGCAGAATTTATTGAAGTTGAGGATAAAGAAGAAATTGTAATTAATTTAATTATTTAATTATTAATAATTAATAATTATTTATAATCATTATTTAATTATTATTATTTAATTTAATTTAATCAAATTAGCAAATGTTTCGAGATATGATTCCAAGCATGATTAATGTTCTTCAACAATGTTTAAATGATGGTGATAATGATTCCGTCATTAAAGGTTTTGAATTGATTGATTCATTGTTACTTGTGGTACGTTTATAATGTCATAATAATATATTCATTAGTTATTTCTATTAATATTTTTATTAATATTTTTATTATTAAATATTTTATTATTAAATATTTTATTATTAAATATAGGATACACCACTTATTTCTCATCATTTTCCACAACTAATTGAATTTGTTTTGGCTGTTGCAAGTCAACCTAATTATGATGAATCTATTCGTGTGATGGCTTTACAATTTTTAATTTTGGTTTCCACTTAGTAAGATTATTAATTTATTATTTTTTAATTAATTAATTAATTAATTTAATTAATTCATTATTTAATATTAATTAATAATAATTAATTATTTTATTTTAATTACTCTAATAATTATTCTAATTATTCCAATTACAGTAAAAAGGCAAAAGTTCAAAGATTAAAACTTATTGGTCCTATTATTCAACATTTAATGCCCATTGGTACAGAAAATGATCCTGAAGACATGGATGAAGAATCTCCTTCACGGGTAAATATTTATTACATTATATTATATTATATTATATTATATGATATTATTATAATTATATGATATTATTTATATTATTTGATATTGTTATAATTATATTACATTAAATACTGACACATTTTTTATTAATAGATGGCATTTAGAGTAATAAATACTTTATCCACAAAATTACCACCTCAACAAATCTTTCCTATTGTTATGGATTATGTTACTGCGTATACTCAAAACCCAGATCCAAGATATAGAAAAGCCGGAATGATGGCATTTGCTGTAAGTTTTATTATTATTATTATAATTTATAATTATTATATTTTTAATTATTTTAATTATATTTTTAATTATTATAATTATTACAATTATTATTATAATTAATACAATTATTACAATTATTACAATTATTACAATTATTACAATTATTACGATTATTCTTATAATATTAAAGGTCCTTATTGAAGGATGTGCCGATTACATGACTCCAAAATTTGATGAATTATTTCTTCTTGTTTGCAATGGATTACGTGATCCTGAAGTTATTGTGCGTAGGGGATCATGTATAGCATTAGGATGTTTAGCAGGTATATATTCATTATATTATATTAGATTCGTTTATTATATTAATTATATTAATTATGTTTAATTATATTATGTTAATACACATTTATTACAGATGAACTTGATCATAAAGTAGCATCTAAACATGCAATTTTATTACCATTAATATTCGAATTAATGAATGAAACAAATAATGAAATTCTAAAACAAGCTTGTAATGCACTTGACTCTATATTGGAAGGATTAAATGATGAAATTCTTCAATATCTTCCAACATTAATGGAAAAATTAATTATTTTATTGGATAATGGAGTTAATGAATTAAAAGCAACTGTCGCCGCTGCTATTGGAAGTGCTGCTCATGCATCTGGAGAGGTAATAATATTATATTAATTATTCGTAAAATTATATTTAATTAATATTTTGGTTATATTAAATATTTTAAATATTTTAAATATTTTAAAAATATTTTTTTTAGGGATTCAAATCTTATTTTCCTCAAGTAATAAGTAGATTAAAAATCTTAATGACATTAAGTCAAACAAATGAAAATTTGCTTTTACGTGGTATAGCTATTGATACTGTTGGTGCTATTGCTGAATCTGTTGGTAAAGAATTAATTCAGGTATTAATTATTAATTATTAATTATTAATTATTATTATTATTATTATTATTTATTATAATTATTATTATTGAATTATTTATTTATTATAATTATTATAATTATTATAATTATTGTTTATTATAATTATTATAATTATTATATTTATTGTTTATTATAATTATTATATTTAATTATTTTATTATAATTATTATTATAATTAGCCATATGCAAATGAATTAATGCATTTAGCATTAGAAAGTTGTCTTATGGATTCTGCTCGACTTCGTGAATGTAGTTATTGCTTATTTGCAGTTTTCTCTCGAATATTTAAAGAAGAATTTTCTCCGTATTTAAGCACGATTGTACCTCAATTAATAAAAAGTTGTCAAATGGAAGAGAACGATTTATTTAGTGTTGATGGTAATTAATTATTTATTTAATTATATAATCTATCATTTAATCTATATTATTATTATTTTTTTTTAATCTATATTATTTATTTTAGTAGAAGAAAATTTATCATCAGATATAGATATCGAAGAAGATGATGATGAAAATGGGACAATTACTATTAATTCCGCTATCGTTGATGAAAAAGAAGTAGCTTCTGATGCAATAGGAGAAATATTTGAAAATACTCGCTCCCATTTTCTTCCTTATGTGGATTCTTCTCTTCAAGAATTAATAAAATTATCCAATTATCATTCCGAATCTGTAAGAAAAACTGCAGTTGGCTCTTTAATTCGATTTTTAATTACTTTTTATAGCATGTCCAACCCTGTTCAATGGGAACCTGGCTTAAATTTGGTATTATTACATTAATTAATTAATTAATTATTATTATTATTTTTAATTAATTAATTAATTTATTTATTTATCATTATTGATTATTATTTTTAATTAATAATCTATAATAATTATTATTAATTGTTAATTACTATTATTAATTATTAATAATTATTTTTATTAATTATTAATTATTAATTATTATTACTTATTATTTATTGATTATTATATTATTAATTAATTATTATTAGAAAGTTCCGTTACATGAAAATGTGGCAAATATGGTAAAAGTAGTTATGCCTACAATTTTAACTATTTGGGGGGATGAAGAATGCAAGTATGTTAATTTTTAATATTATTATTTATATTACCATGTAAGAATATTATTTAATATTTTTATTATATGATGAAATATTTTGCTATTAACCCAGCTCATTTTGAATTAAAACGTGTGACTAAATTTAATCTGATTATAAATTTATATTATATTATAATATTATTTATATTATTTATTATAATATTTTTTAATTATTAATTATTAATTATTATTATTATATTATTATTTCTATTATTTTATTTAAGAACCGTTGTAATTCAGATATGCACAGAATTAGTCGACGCATTAAAGATTTGTGGACCAGCAATTATTGCTGATTGTATGTTAATATTTTAATTATATTTTAATTTTAATTTATGAAAATCAATTAATTTATTTATTTATTTATTTTTAGATGTAAAACAAATTTGTGAATATATTCTCTTGCTATATCAAAGAAAAGCTCTTTGTCAAGAAGATAATGGAGATGATGAAGGGTTATTGGATGATGAAGAGGAAGCTGAATGTGATGCCCTCCTAATAAATAGTACATCAGATCTGGTAGCTGCCATGGCTTCCGTAATGGGAGTAGATTTTGTTCCTTTCTTTAAAGAATATTTACCATATATAACTAAATATTATGTAAGTAACATACATATATTTCTATATTATACAATTAAATATTTTCTATTTTCTATTTATTTAATATTTTATATTTAAATTATATTTATACTTCTATTTAATATTATTTATTTTTCAAGAAAAAATCTAAACCAATAGCTGATAGATCAATGGCTATAGGATGTTTAGGTGAATCTACTGCTGGATTGAAATCCGGCATATCTGAATTTACAGAAGTAAGTAATTATCTATCTAAAATATTTATGATATTTATTTATGTTTATAATATTTATAATATTTTATAATATTTTTATTTCTTTATTTTATTAGCAACTTTTACCTTTATATCTTAAAGCATTAAATGATGAAGAGGAAGAAGTTAGAAGTAATGCTGCTTATGCAATTGGACTTCTTTGCCAATATACAAATGTTGATATTAGCAGGTAATTTATAATATTAATAATAATTCATAATATTAATGATTATCAATAATATTATTAATAATTATTGTTATTATAGTCAATATCACCTTATATTATCAAAAATTTATCCATTATTTACAAGTCAATCAGCACTCAATGTAACAGATAATGCATGTGGTGCAGTGTGTAGAATGATTATGACTTGTCCACAATTAATTCCTATGGATCAGGTTATATATATATAATTTTTTATTTTATTATTAATTGTTTATTTATTTTATTTATTGTTATTTTTATTTTATTTTTATTAATTATTTTGTATTATTACCTAATTATGTAGGTATTAGAAGTTATATTACACAAATTACCTTTAAAACAAGATTATGAAGAAAATGAACCAGTTTTCCAATGTATTTTCATGCTTTTCCGTGGGAATAATACTTTTGTAAGTATTTTTTTTTTCATATTTATATAATATCTATCATATGATTAATTATATTCATTCATTAATTCATTTATTATTAGGCATTAAATCATATTCCTGAATTATTGAATATATTTGCTCAAGTTCTTTCGTCAGATGATCAACTCAAAGAACCAACAAAATTAGAATTAATTGAACTTATTAAAGCCCTTAATCAACAATTTCCTGATTTGGTAGCAAATTCCCCTTTAGTGGGATTTTCACAATCATAAAAATGTCTTAAAAGAGATAAATAATATATATATTATAAAAAAAATAAAAATTGATAATATTTCAATTATTAATATCAATTTAATACATAAAAAGCTCACTATCTCATTTTTGGTTGTGCTATGTTGTGTCATCTATTGCATTTACAAAAAAATTTATCTTTTATTGTAGATTAATTTTTATGAAAGTAATTTAAAATATCTGTACAGGCTTTAATAATGCATTTAGAACAAATAGTTAAACTTAAGCAGGAGAAAGATAATTGTGATGAATTTGGAGAACTTCAGCCATATGTCGAGGATACAACTAATCGTTTATTTAAATATAGCATCCTTTCAACATTGCATCTCCTGTGTACTTACACGTTTATTGGTGGAAAAATTCAAGTACAATGTTAGTATACCTTTAATTAGCTCTTATGTAATTACTTTCAGAAAAGAGAGCTAATTACACCTTTGAAGATTATCTTATTCGGAAAGTAACGATAATGAGGCTCAATATATAGAAGTATCAATGTTCACCAAATAGATCAAATGGCATAAACAAGCCACAAAAATCATAACCTATACTGGAAAGCTGATTTGATCTCGAAAATTATCATCTTTTCAATTATTACAAAATTTCAATGAATTTGTTGTTTCAAAGTCAATTTCCTTGAAAGATACTAAGGAAATAGTAAGACTTGGTTTAACTTCTGATGGATGTGAAATTCTTTCTAAAGAATTCATAAATTATGTCAAAGTTCTGAATGAACTTGAAGTAAATGAAAAAATTTAATTCTTATACGATCTCTTATTGCAAGATACCTTGATATTATTTCAATAGAGTCACAAATAATTTTTACATTTATCAAAATATTTTTCTTGAGAACCTTTCCCTTTGATAGGATCGATTATAAGTCGTGTTTTCACAAAAGAGGATGACAAAAGTTTTCTTTGAAATTTTAGAAAATGTATAGTTTTACAACTTTCACCTCGTTTGAATGTAATCAATACTGCACTGCTTTGAAATCCAAAAATTTAAATTCACCAATGGTGGCCCTGTGCTGTGATATTATTCAACAGAATTACTTTTCAGAATTAGAAATGGCAAATATGATTGAATTCTTTCTTTCAGCTTCTACTGCACTACTTAACACGAAAATAGAACTTTTACAACTTATTTCAGAAATAGCCCTTCTAAAAGTGTTTGTTGGTATACTTTGGGACACGACAATAAACAGAGATGATTTCACACGACTAATTAAAATGGATAAAATCATAAGATCTACTTTTTATGAGATTAGATTTAGAGATTTTCAATGGACGATGTTAAAAAATATTGTAAAATGTTATTACATTATAATGGGGAGATAATAATGATAATAGGCTTCCATTTAATACATATTAGTATCTTCCTGAATATTCATAAGATGAAGACTCATTTAGATTTCTATATATGTGTGTTGTGTTTAAATCATAAATTAGATAGAGTTCAAATATGAACAAATGAAAAATCTCAAATTAAAATTGAAGAATATAATTATAATATCCGAAAATAAAGAAAAAATACAAAGTTTGAAATTCGAAACAAAAATGAAATAATGGTTATTTATGCCATTTAAATAGACTTGGAATTTATGAGAAAATAATAGACTAAAATACTATACAGAGATATTGCATTCGTTTAAAATCAAGATCCGATTATTATTTATTTAGCAAAATTGCGAACTATACAATGCTAACGGCTACTAAATTAATTAAAATTTCATAATAATAAAATAATAATTTAAAATATATGAATTTTTTTAACTTTTAACTTTGAATATGTAGTAATAAATATAATATTTTTGTTTAAATCATTAAATATAATAGACGTGATAGTATTATAACAGAATATATATAAAGCACTATATCAAGAATTAGTTGTTCTTTTATATCTATAATTCAACAATATATGAATTATTCAATTTTAAGTATTATTATCATGACTTCCAGATATTTTAATTATTACACTTTTTTTGCTTTTTTTGTAAATAATAAAAGCTAAAATTAAAGTTAGAACAATAACTGCACCACCACCAGTTGCAAGCCCAATCACTAAAGATTTAGATGATGATTTTTGGATTGGATAAATAATAACTGGAGGATTAAAAGTTGTAACCCATTTACTACTTGTTATATCGTAGAGATATATATCTGAATTATATGAGGAATTTATCCATGTACTATTTCCTAAAAAATTTAAATAAATGGTATTAATTTAATTTTTTAAAAAAAAGAAAGATTAAATATTAAAATCTACTTACCAAGTATAAAACCAAACGTAATTATCATATAATTATAATATAAATTTGCTTCATGTCCATACATTAATGGTGGAGAATTGATTTTGGAATTTTCTGGAATGGACCATTCAAAAGGGGATTTATTTGTATCTAACATAACAAGGTTTGGACTAACAGAGTAGACATTACTAAATTCCCCTTCAAATGTACAACCTCCAAATACAACAATATACCCATTTGGTGCTATATGAAATATTTAATGTATTTTTAATTTAAATTTTATGTTTTAAAGATGAAGGATGATTTAAATAAATTAGACACTCACTTAACACAGAAGTATGAAACCACCTTGAATCAACAGTTTCACCAGTGGCATTCTTAAAATTAAGCATATTAGTTAAAATATTTTATAAATTTTATATATTTTATAATTAATATCAAATACAAACCATCTGTGACCATTCATATTTATTAGTATCAAATAGTCTAATCTATTTGAGAGTAGTAAAGAATTAAATTCAATATTTACAAAAATGATTTATTCATTTAAATTGCTTACATTATTAATGTTTACAGGAGTCATTATAGTAGTATTAGCAACATATTCGCCTCCACCAATATAAACAATAATCCCATTTAATAAAATATTAGCTGAATAACTACAAAATCGCGGAGGAAGATTTTCGTGTATGCTTAAAGTTGTCCAAGTCATTGAAGTGGTATTTAATATATTCATATCATTGTAAAGTGTTCCTATATATTCTGATTCTGTTGCATTAGTGGCATTATATCCACCAAATATATATATAATTCCTAACCTATCAATTACTCCTCTCATACCCTGTCTAGGAGGAGGAATATCACCAGCAATTGCTGGTGTATCCCATTTTTTAGTAGGATAATTATATGTGTAGACTTGGGATGAAAAATTATAGCCTTCTTTCTTATTGATAAATCCTCCATATAAAAATATTGTAGAATTATCCAAACTAACGCTAACAGCTGACACTGATGTAGATATTGGAAGATTCCCATCTGGGATTAAATTCCATGTCAAATTTGTATTACTAAATGACTTTAACAAATCCAAATAAAATAATTCATATGCAGATCCATATTTATCATTTTTCGTTTTTATTCCACCAAATATTAAGAGTTGATTATTGATTATTACACCATTATGATTGACTCTGACACCTGGTTTATAGCATAAAATGGGATTTATTAATAAGAAAATGCAAAAAATGAATCTGAGAGAGAAATACATCTTTTATGGAATCTATACATTTTTTATTGTCCTTCCATTATTATAAAAAAAAGGGTGTCATCAAATAATCCGAGTTTATTACGTAAATGAATAACGTTTAAGTAGCTTTTTGATCTTACCAGACTTTTAACACCCAAATATAGTATATAAACAACGAAAGACTTGTATAACAGGAATCTGGTGATTTTTTTATTTGCATATGGTGCTTATAAACAATTTCCTTTTCAAAAAAAAATTTCCCTAATATATTATTCCTTGAGGTAGATGTAAAAAAAATGGAGGAAAAAATTTTTACCAAATATTTTTATTTTTTTTTCCGTCAAAATCATTGTTATAATGAAAAAATACCTCTAGGCAACCCATTTTTGTTGATAATTAATTGTAAACAGCTAGCGAAATTAGGAATGGGGAAACTTCTAGAACTTTATTTAAATGAATTAATGATAATGAGTTGTTTTGTGACCAGTTCTTGTGTTGGCGTGATTGTTGTATTTTGGAAAATTCTTTTAGAAGATTTCCTTTTTATTTCTAGAAAAAGCAAAAAATTATCGGAGGTTTTTTCCGTGCCGATTAGGAATAGATGACAGTATTTGGGTGATCTTTGTAATCGCTGTCTCTGTTCAATTAATACTTCAGGAGCTATATAGGGTAATACTCCAGAAATGGTATTCTTTTGAAGATTTTTTTTGGGAGAAGCGGAACGATCGCTGCCTATGTTTAAATGTCACGTCGTTGGTTTTTTTTTGAATTTTTTGTCTAGATTGGGATGTTTCATACGCCCAGTAGTTACTTCAGAATGGCCATTTCCTTAATGCCTGAAATGAAATGGAAAAAAACCATTGATTTTGCGTATATCTCATGTGATCTGGCAAAGCGGTAATGATCAATCCCAGTAGCAAAGGTGTCGTTTTTGATTCATTTATTTTATACAACCTAATATTCATTATCACGTGATGTATAGAATAACAAAATTATGCGAAAAATGATCGTATTGAGGGTGCACGAATTCCACATGGGATGTGCACGGGATTTCGAAATGTTGCGAGTGTCACGGGAGATGACAGTAAGATGACAGTGTAACCAGGATGAGTGTGTTACCATCTAGATGACAGATTTCTCATCCTTGTGTGTCATCTTTAAAAATAGAAAAGGACATGACAACAAAGGGTGAAGGAAAACAAGTTCGAAAGTGTATAAAATAAACTGGTAATTTAGGATGTGAAAGGAATTGGTTCATTTTGCAATTTTTATAATTTTTAATTTTCTTTTGGTACATTTCAAATAATTACAAAAATCTTTCACCTAATTTGTAATAAAATAATAAATAATCTTTTGGTACACATTTTTGTAATAAAAAAATAAAATAATAAAGATAGAAACATATTGTTTCAATTTAGCAACAGAGATAAGACATGCCAAAGCAGTGATATATTTTTGTTGTTATATCTTTGCAATAAGTTTAATAGTTTTGACATACTCCATAATAATTTGAAACATTTTAAATAATTTATTTTGTAATAATGGTAATATTAATGAGAAATGGTTAACAGCCCATAATACCTTTATTACTAATTTTGTAATTTCTTGAATAAAGTTACTGAATAAAGTCTGAAGCCAAGATTTTGAAAGTTTGTATAGTGAGCTGTAAAAGAATACTTTTACTCCACTTACTCATGTACCTTCAGATCACACCTGTGTGTACTGTGTTAGAGTTTATTTTATATATCTGTTCGTTGCGAGTAGGCAAGTGACTGCTTGATCCTACTGGCAGATAGTGGGCATTACGAAATATTATGTACAAGAGTACACTGAGTTAGTATGAAAAGGGGTGTGACGAGAGTTCAATTTAGTGGGACTGATTGATGTAACTTTACTCTTTGTTCTGGGCAGACCGCCACAGTATATCAAAAAGATCACAGGATCGATCGGCTACACAAAATATTGGACAGATCAAATTATAGAATTATCAGTTATAGAGATCATGACAGAATTTACAGTTAAGTAATTTATTTTATTTGTAGAGATATTATTTTATTTAAAAGAAAAGATAGTTTTTTTTATTCAAGATCAAAATAAAAGATAAAGATGTAAGGTTAATTTCTTTATTTAACAAAATTCAATCTAGAATTTCAAAGATGGGAGAAACAATTTATTAAGTGTTTTCTATCTGATTAATGATTAAAGGATGAATTTATTAATGGAACATTAAAAGGATTATCAAGCTAAACATTATTCAAAGCTCATTAAGTTCGTACTACCATAAAATTCTAACTAACTATAAAATCAAAGTCTATTTATACATTTTGGAGAATCTACTTTAATAATATAAAAATTAATAATAAAAGATTAACATTAAGGAAAACATTATAGATTATTCCTTTCCCATACAAAGCCTTGTTAGAACAATAAGGATGGCTTAAATAGATGTACAGTGTTGGTATATTTGAACAACCTTAACCAATAATGATTTCGATAATCTCATGTGAAACGTGATCGGAATCGTCACGCATCAATATAATGAATATTACTAAATAAGTAAATAATAAAGAAGAAGAAATAAACGAAATAAAAGAAATAAGAGAAGGAAAAACAAAAGAAAGTAATAATAAATAGATACATGAATAAAAACAATTGTAAATAATAATATTTGACAAAAAGAAATAAATAAAAGTAAAGAAATTAAAAAAAAAAAATAGTAACAACGGTCGGCCATAATTAAATAGATTATAAAAGTGTAAAAGTTACAGCATAAATAAAAAAATCAAATTTATATGAATGACTCATTATAAAGAATGGAAAATGGTTTTCTTGATCGTACTCAGTAATCTAATTGGTTAATTTACTAAGTAATTCACTAAATCTAACGGATTTTGAAACTATAAAAAAATTATAAATTATTATTATTATGCCTTAAATATATTTGAATCAAATAAATGATAATATAAAATAAATTTTTACCTTTACAAAGATCTTCAGAAGTTGATTTAATTGATTTACTGAACTTTTTCACAAAACTTGATGCATTTACTGGTTTTGAACTTGTGGTACTGAAAAGTTTACTCGCATAAATTGCTTCAGAATGTAATTTGTAAGAAGGTAATGTTGATGTCGGTAAAATAAATTCATCAAAAGCATTACTCATTAACCATTTATTGAGAATAGTAAATAATTGTTTAGATGTTGGTCATTTTTTTGGGATCAGCATCCCAACATTCCTTAATTAATCTAGCCATTATTTTTGGTACTTTTGATGCAATTTTTGGACGTAAACCTTGACATGTAAGATCATTATCATGTGGAGTCTTATAATATGGCGGATAACCAGTTATTAATTCACACGCTACAATACTAAAAGAGTATATATCTGATGCCATAGTATATTCTTCTCCACATAAAACTTCTGGTGCAATATAAGGTAAAACTCCAACAATTTTTTCAGTTTTTGATTTTGATTTTTTGATTTTCTTGTTTGCATACAATCATAATATTAGTATTCATATATGCACGAAGACTACCTGATGTTACATATTCCATTACTATCATACATTACTATCATATAATTATGTGTTTTGAATCTTGAGTAATACCTAAACATCTAATAAAATGTGGATCATCAACTACTTGAATATTTGATTCGATTTCTTTCAAATATCTGAAATTGGATCTGTTAGATTATTTATTGTTTTAATGCTACACTCTGAATTCTTACACGAATCCACTTTTGATCATTCATATCCCAACCTCTAATTTGTCCATCTTTCCAAATAGCTGAATATATAGATCCAAATCCTCCTTTTGTCATATATTTTACAAGACGTAATCTATTAAATGGAATCCATTCAATAACTTTATATGGTCTATCTGCTGCAAGTTGTAATTTTTGAATAAAGTCATCTATTTTAGTATTACTACTAGTCCAATTTTTAAAATTATTTTGAAAACGGCTTGAATGATGTAACATATATTTTTGCACAAGGTTGATTACATTCATCACATACTTCTGTTATTTCTGTACTAGTGGAAAATTCAACATCAAGATCCCAATATTCACATTTTTCTACATCACAACCCCAATATAAATCATTTTCCATATTCCAATCTGTGTTAAGGTGGAAGTTATATAAGTCCATTCTACTTGGATCTATATTGCATTCAAAATAATCAAATCCGAAAAAATCATATGGATGTATTTCTAATGACTTTTCAAGTAATGTTAAAGTTTCTTCATATTTTTCCATATCATAATAAGTCCTTCCTTTCATAACTAATGCCCATGCATCATTTGGATATTTTTTTAATACCTTATTACAATCCTCAAGGGCTTCTTCATATTTCTTTAACAATCGATAGATATCTCTTCGAGTTGATAAAGCATCAATATCATTTGGATTTATTGCTAATGATTTGTTCATATCTTTAAGTGCTTCGTTTAATTTTGACAACAATCGATAGACCTCACATCGAAAATATAATACAAATGCATTATTGAAGTCAATTTCTATTAGTTTGTTCAAAATTTCTAATGCTTTGTTATAATCTAATTGATTCATCATATTTATTCATTGTTCCATAAATATAACCTCTATCTAAAAATGCATTAAATTCATTTGGACAATTTTTTAAAAATTTGTTTAAATCGATAAGTGATTTTTCCATTTTATCCATTTTAAAATAAATTGCTCCTTGATCAAATAGTGTAAATATATAATTTGGTTCTATTTCTTGTAATTTGTATTTATACATCGCACAATAAGTTCTTCCACGATGTCCCAATGTTAATACATTATTTGGACTAATTCCTAATGATTCATTTAAATCTGCAAGTGATTCTTCATATTTATTCAAATTCTGATATATTGATCCTTTAATTCTTAAAACAAATGAATTATTTGGTTCAATTTTTAATATTAGGTTTAAATCTTTAAGAGCTTCATCATTTTTACCCATCATATAAAAAGTTTCTCCACGAATTTTCCATGCATCTATGTTATTTGGTTCAATTTCTAATGATTTATTTAAATTTTCAAGCGCCTCATAATTTTACCATTTTTAAGATAAATTTCTCCATTGTCTCATAATTCCCATTTATTATTGGGATTTATATCAAATGGGGTTTTGAAATATATAAGCCATTCTTCACATTTTTCCAATACACGACAAGTGGCCCATGACTTCTCAAGGTAAATACATCATTTGGATCAATTTCTAATAATTTAGTATAATTTGAAAACGCCTGTTCATATTTGTCGATCATACTATAAATTTCTTTATTATTTGTTATAAAATGCATCGTTTGATTCAATTTCTAATGATTTATTAAAATCGGCGCATGCTTCGTCATATTTACCTAACTTATAAAAAACTTTCCCACGATTTCTGTTTCAATTTTCAATGACTTATTTAAATCTGTAAGCGATTCTTTATAATTTCCTATTGTACAATAAATTGCACCACGTTGTCTTAATGCATGTACATTTTTTTGGATTAGTATTTAATAATCCATTCAAATCTGCAATTAAATCTTTGTATGCTTCCATTTCAGAAGCGATTTCAAAAAAATAGCTTAATGAATATTGTATGGTAATCTGAAAGAAGGAAAAATAACAGATATAAAAAAATATGTTGGAGATAAAGAATTACTAAAAGAAAAGGCTAGAAATATCAATATAAAAGAATCTGTTGGAGATAAAGGATTACTAAAAGAAAAGGAAAGAATATAGTTGATGAAAAATATTTGAGTGGGTTTTAAAAGCAAAAGGAATTTTTACGACTAGTAAAAATTAGAAATCTAAATAGTGAGTTTATTTTCTCTTTCTTTTTATTTTTAGTTTTTGTTTTCTTAACTGACTCATTATCTGATATAAACAAGTCTTCCTCTTCTTCTCTATCTATAATTTTTATATATTTAGGTTCTGAAACATATGAAAAACTTGAATCCAGCTTAATAACATTACTAAGGTTTATTTCATTTTCTAGCTCCAATGACTCTCTTAAAGGTTGTTTCTTGCTTATA